ACATTCAGTTAAGAAACTTTCTATAGCACAAAATTTAGTGAAGTACAAGTTGGAAGTGACATACAAAGAACCAAACAAGTGAACAGTTGCATCATAAAACTTTTGCAAAAATTGTGTAAAAACACGAGCATCTTCCCAATCTTGAGTGGTAGGGGATTCATGATTAAGTTCTAATTTGAAATGTGGGTCCTCATCCTCTAATCTCTCAAATACTTTTGAAACTTTGTTGCAACATCTAGCATTAGATATGTGGAGTTCCACCTAATTTTGAAACGTTGTTGCAACATTTTGTAGAGATGTCCATAAATCTGTAGTGAGACAAAGTCTATAGTTTGATTTCTTCAACAATTTTTCAGTTTTCTCTGCTCACTAGAATATAAATCCACAATATCCCTTGCCATTGTAAAGCGTGAAAACTTTTTGAAATTAGGTTGCATCACACTACAAAATTGATGAAATCCTTCATGCTCTACAAACCTAAATGGTAATTCATCAATGATTACCATTTTAACAAGTGAATCCCTACATGCTTGTTGATCAAATTTCCAAACACCAAGTTTTTTTTCACCTTTTGTTACAGATTGAAATGCCAAAGTCTTTATTTTTTATTTTCTTTATTGTGAGGAGCCTTAGGATAGTTTGCAATGTGTTTTCTCAAAGTGCTAGTTCCATTTGCACTAATCCAAACATAAGAAGCTTTGCAATGGTTACATTTAACACATGTAGCAGTCTTACTCCTTTCTTTAAAATTTTTGGTAAAATGCTCCCAAACTTCAAAATATTGTCGAGCTTTTTACTTAGGAGAAGGGGGCACACCTTTGAACCAGAAGGAGTTTCAAGCTGAGAATCATGCTCTGGCTCAGACTAAGACCGAGAGAGGTCGATGACATCATTTGTCTCTCCAATACTTGACATCTATCAAACAAGAAAAAAAAATACATCAAAAAAATAGGATTAATATTATTAGAGAAAATAAAAAAAAATAAAAACAGAAATAAAAAACCAAATAAACAGGTCAACATGAACTTTTTACTTACATTTACCAAATCCATTGAAGAAAAGATCAACAAAGATGAGATGAACAATCGATTTGAGAGTGTAGAGTTCACTGCATATCTCCGATTTAAGATTAAATCTACTGATTTGGCATGAAATCCACAAATAATTAACAGAGTGTTAAAGAGAGAGAGCTCACCGAGAGAGAGAGAGAAAGAGAGAGCTTACTGAGTCTGAGAAGAAACCAACAAAAACAGAGTGTCACGAAGAGAGAGAGAGAGAGAGAGAGAGATAGAGAGAGATAAAGAAAGAGACCAAGTTGCTACCGATCTAATATGATATGGAAATCCACCGATTTGATCTGAGATGAAATCACAAGAATAGAGAGAGAAAACTCAGTCTGAAAAAGAGAAAATAGAGAGCTTACTGAGTCTAAGAAGAAAGAAACCAACAAAAATAGTGTTACCGAGAGAGAGAAAGAGAGAGAGCTCACCGAGAGAGAGATAGAGAAAGAGACCAAGCCGCTACCGATCTGATCTGAGATGGAAATCCACCGATTTGATTTGAGATGAAATCACAAGAATAGAGAGAGAATTCAGTCTAAGAAAAGAAGAGGGAGAGAGAAAGAGAGAGAGAGTATCGAAAGAGAGATGAGAATGTGAGAGACAGTGGCGTGTGATATGTTGAATTAGGGTTAAGGTTTAGCTTTTATATGGAATAAGAAATGATATTATGTGAAAGGGTTTATAGTAGAAATATAGACTATTTGTATACGGTCTGGATCGGTTTTAATCTAGAACTGTGGGGTTCAATTCGGAATCGATCTGTGGCCTACGGATTTTTAAATTTCCAATCTGGAATCAAACCACAAATTAAAAAAAAAACAATCCAAACCTACTGGATTGTATTGAACTGGATCGGATTACGGATTATATGGATTTCTTACTTAGCTCTACCAAACACCCCCTAATGTATATACAATTTATTACTTTTTTGTAATTTTTTTAAAACTTACACTGATTTGAAATTCTCAAAAAATATGCATATTTATTAAACGCACTCTAATATATCAACACTCTAATTAATTTCAATCTTACCTCATTCCACTCTACTCCACTCATCTATTTATCTATTCATCATTGTTGTTGACTTGTTACCCCTTTCCTATCATTACTCCTCGGATCCAGTGTCACTGTTATGCGTAAAGCACAACAGTGACTATTGAGCGACCCGTGGAACTCATTTCGGATCTTATTTTGATGATCGGAACCGTTGAAAATATAGAAAATATCGCGAACAATATACTTGTAAAAAATCAAGTTAATCAGATATCAATAACCTGTTCATCAAATAACATTTGTATTTAGTTTGATACATACATATTCATTTTTTTAATATAATGATGTTATTTGATGAATATGTTATTGATATCTGATTAACTTGATTTTTTACAGGTATATTGTTCTCGATATTTTTAAAATTTTCAACGGTTCGAATCATCAAAATAGGATCTGAAATGAGTTTAATGGGTCGTACAATAATCACTGCTATGCTTCACACACAGTAGTGACACTGGCTCCCTACTCCTCGATACCTCCTTCCCAACACCTCAATATTTCCTTTCCTTATCTTAATCCTACCCCTTTTGGTTCCCTTTTGAATCTCTTAGTTTTCTCTCTTACCATCAATATTACCCTTTGTCGCCTCTTTCCTTTTTCTCCTTTGCATTTATCATTTAGGGTCTTCTCTCTTCACTATTTGTCATCAATATGATGTGTTTTAATATGTTAAAATTTGAAATTTAATTTGTTATAACTTGTACTAAAATTTGAGATTTTAATATATAAGAATTTTGATTGATACATTTTTAATTATGAATATTGTGAATAATCCATAATGGAATTGAATAGATGACCAAGGGAACATAGTTTGGTTGTGAAAAATTATTTGGTAGTTTAGGGGTGTTGTCATTGCCTTTCACCAATCACCAATTACCAATCACCAATCAATATATCGTTATTGTTTTTTCATGACCAACACAAAATCGTGACTATCATATTCTCTACCAATTATAACACATGTAGAGTACCATGTGATCGTATCCCAGAACTACTAAATAAATTCTCCTTAGTTGTGCAGAGACATTTAGGATGTCATTAATAATGATGAAAATTAATTAAGTTCAATTATTACGATTTACGCATTGTTTAGGCAGAATACATATTTTTTATATTTGGTACAATATAAAACGGAAGTGAACGAAAAACATTTCTATGGTCAACAAAATTTACTTTTAAAAAATATTTTTTAACCTAAAATCTTGCCAATATTGGCTTCTTTTGGGAACAATGGTAAAAAGCCAGCTTTTTGGCTTTTTAGCTTTTTTAGCAAAAAAAGCCATCTTTTTTACCCAAAACAACCCAGCTTTTTGCCAAAAAAACCACCAAAAAAGTCAAAAAGTCAAAAAGTCAACTTTTTACCAACTTCCCAAAACATCCCATTATCACATTACCAATCCTACTATCATCTCCACCACCACACCATCATTATCAGTCACCACCTCCACCTTCACCCACTGCCACCATCACCCAATATTTACAAATATTTTTATAATTTTTTTTTTGGTAGTAACTTGAGTTCATTAAAAAGTATTTTTCTTCTAAACAAACTATTATATTAAAAACTTTTATAATGAATACTAATGTTTTCATGCTATATTAATTCAAAAATACATTTTATTCTCTACCTGTGCATTAATTCCACAATGCCCAATCAAAACCCACACATCTTTCCATCGACGCATTGAAATTCGAGGAAAAACATAGATAGTAAAGCCGAAACAAGCTTTAAGATTAGAAATCTGCTTCAGTTTTCATCTGTTTTGGTTTGGCAATTGACACTCGGAAAAAATGATCGCTGTGCAAAGTTTTGATGAACCCAAAACAACCACTTTCGGTGACCCCATTTGGCTCAGGCTTTTGGAAACTCTGTTTCCAAAATCCCACTACATTGGTTCGATTTCTTCTTTTTCTCTCTTGGGTTTTTTTCTCAGTCCCTTGATTTGTTTGTATTTTTTTTGCACATTAAGAAGTTTATTTTTTACTTGTTTGTCTTTTGTGCTCCACATATGTGTAGTTAAAATCTCTTGTTAATTTTATACAAGTGTATGTGAGTCTTGCAGATCACATGTTTGATGAAAGACTTCAATGGTTGTTGAGAACATAGGAGGACAATTCACTTTCTTTTACTCTGTTTATTGGGGCCCAATAGATTTCTAATCTCCAAATTAATGGAATTGAAATTTGATTGGAAACATGAACCTTTTGTTAAGATAGATATATGCGCGTGACGATGCATGTTTGATAATCGGTAAACATTTTGTGGGTTTGACACGAATACCATGGGACGATGGACGGCATTAATAATAGAGTGGGGATATTTGTACTATATTTGAACTATATTTGATTATAATATGATGATGAGATAAGAGGAGAGAATTATTTTTAGATTAACAATGCCATGGGGGCGGTGGATCGCTAAACCTACCATTTTGGGTGATTAGCAATCCCATCAGGCTAGTAATCTCAAGCCTATTGCCAAACAGACACAAGTTTAGCGAACTACAAAAAATGTATGGGTTCCATGTGGTTCTACATTTTTGTTAATCTCTATCAAACTAGGTTGAAGGCCTCCAAGCAAGTTATCAAACATGGCCATAGGTGTGTAAAGCCATTGCTTATTCAAAAAGTGTAAGTAACATAGAATCTAAAAGCATATCTATGTGACCTTCCAATTGTGTGAAGCAAACTTTTTGGACACTTTTACACGTATGGTATGTGTGTCAGAGGTGTAGTTACACATTAACCAAGACAGCACGTTTGGTAATTCGTGTTTACTAGTAATTAAGATCTGTATGAAGAAGAAGAGAGAAGAAGGATGAAAAAAAGAAGAGAGAGGTGCAGAGCGAGTGAGAGTATAGTGTACCCCTTGTTCATTCTTGTGTTGGAAATTTCTTTCAAATTATTGAGTCTATAGTTCTTTTTTATAGTTGAGTTTGGAGAAGATTGAAGTTGAAGACTAAAACTATAATTAGAAAACACAGACAGACTTTGTTGAGAAGGTAAGATGTATTGCATTTGCGTCATTTAGTGGCTTTTTATCTAATGCTAGGCTAGTAGGGTTCGATTTAAATTGAGTTGATAACCTTAGATAATTTAGTTTTGAACCTAAGAAACATGGGTACGTACACACGACATGACACATACAAGCTAGAGCGCCAATTTTTAAAACAACATGCCATGTGGCAAACGAGCACAAAATGTATGGCTTCATATATTTATTATGTGTCATCATGAATATTTCATCTAAAGATATGAAAAATAGAAGATAACACTAATTTCTAAAGTTTAAAAGGCGAGTAATTAATAGGTATAAATCTATGTTGTTATTCTTTTATCACTAGATCCCACATTATTTGTTCAAACTTATAATGAGTTTCCAAGTATGTGTAAGGGATGGACACATGTGTCTCCCAAGTGTTTGAAATGTGAAGGGAAAAGATATAAAAAATAAAAAGGTATGTTTGTGTCTGACACATGCTATGAAGTGTCCAATGAGTGTCAGTGTTTGACCTAGACATGCCACCTTCAAACACATTGGGATCGGTGCAATACGATCAAAAATTGAAAAATGCCTGTTTAATTAACAATGGTTTTTTTTTTTTTTTTTAAGAGGTCTCTTGTTGTCTGTTCTCTCTTTTACTTTCCAATTTATGTAAATATGTTTGGTTATATCATAATCAATATTCATCTCAAAATAGCTCAAGAATAAAGTAAAGAAGAAAAAGAATTAATTCCTTTGTTTCTTTAATGAGAAAATGATTGTTTGAATGAAGTTTAATTATTCTTGTTTCTTCTATTTGTGTTCTATTAGATCAACAATTGATATGCAATATTTGGAGGTAAATGATGATCAAGATCACCCTGGACTGAAACTGGCCAAGTTGGTGGCCGGTTGTGATTGGCCACAGTTGTGTGATCCACAAACCTACAGCCAATTACAACTGATCACTTTAGTGTGTTTGGCTCAGGAATGGACCTGAATAGAAAAATTCATATTTCTGAAATAATAATAATTTTTTGTAACTATGAAGCATGGACACCTTTCTGGAGGTCACATACCGGTGTCGGACACGTTTTGGACACATACATGCTTGGACATGCTCTGGACACATGTTGGATACGTTGGAAGGAATCAGACAAGCCAGGGACACTTGGGACACGTTATGACACACTAGGGACATATTGGGGATCCATTTTTAAAATTTTTAATTTAAAACTATTATTTTGAGTGAGGCAACATACCAAGGTTGATGAATTTGATGAGAATAAATATTTGACATAGAATAAATATATAATATTAAAAAAACGTGACATGTAATAATTATACAAAATTATATGTTTTGCATGAGTCCCTGACGTATCGTGTCCTACATTTTTGAAAATTTGCATGTCCACGTGTCCGTGTCGCGTCACGTGTCCACGCTTTGTAGGTCTGAAATGCTGATATATATATTAAAAAAAAAAAATTTGTCTGAAATGATATTCTTTTTATTTTCTTCATTGTGCTTGTATCATAGACCAGTAATTTGCAGCTGTTGGAATCCTCTCCTCCTTGGAGTTGCTGGTTGCATCTTAGTGTAGACTTATTTGTTAGCGTTAAATAGAATAGTGATTCTAATTGGTTTATATCTGTTTATTTACTTATTTATTATATATATACATATCTTCCATGCATTTCCCAATTTGTTTCCTGATCCGTTGGGTATGTTAGATGCTCTTCCAATTCAAAACTTCACAAAATGTATCTTCCCCTATAGTTAGTTTTGACTTGTACTGTAAGAGTTTAGGATGTTCTCCTCCTCTCTGTTTCTGATTAATGCACTGATTTCTTCTAATACTTTTCCATTCGAAAATAGACAGAAAATGTTGTTGTAAAGATCTTCTATGAACTTTGACAAATTTATTGTGAATCTAAAACCACTTTAAATTCATTTCTCATTTCTTTTTACTTCCATTTTTTAGTTTCATCCATTATGGATTGCATCAACTTTTCCTTTTCTGATGGAAGTTGCCTAGTACCATGGATAACTTTTCGATTTTCCTGTATTGGTATAATCTTCTAACTTGAATTTATATCTTGTTTTTGGCTTTGCCTCTTAATTATTATTTTTATTTCTGCACATGATCAGTTTTAGACCTTTGACCAGTCTGTTATGTGAATGTTTCTCTTTGTCCCACCATTTTTTTAGTCAGACTTTGTCTCACTTCAAAATCAGCACTTTTTCCTAGCGTAACTGCTGAAGACGTGTACTATCATTATTTTTTTTTAAAGAAAATTTGATTTACACTAAACTGGTCAAAATTTGCTCTTAACGCAATTCTGATGATCTTCCTCAATTCGTGTATCAATCTCCACTCAATCTCTTCATAAAGTTTTTTCATTAATCAGAACTTAAATTCTCAACATATGGGAGTTTACATCAGGGCTGGTGGTGTTGGCTTAAATTTTCTTTCCCTTCGTTTTGTAAATGACACTTGGGTATTACCTAGTGAGGTCATTAGCCATTTCTATAGCAAGACCACTCCAATCCGGAGTTATTAGTCTTTTCCACTTCTGTTAGGGGCATACCATTGTAACCGATTATGCCGTTTTCCTCATATTCTGCTTCTTTTCGGGGTTTCTTTTCCGTTACGGACCTGTTTCATTTACTTCACCTTGTCTTTTTGTATTCATTTTTGTAATTTAAAACGCGAGCAAGGGTATTAATGGCAACTCATGCTAAAAAATAAGGTTACTTTGTGAAGATGAAAAATTGGCAAGATAATAAAACCCACCTCTCTCCATTTAGAGGCTAGTATATTGGAGATTTTACTAGGAAAAAATTGAACCGTTGTTATATATATATGAAGAGTGCATGGTATTTTAAAACTGTAAGCTGAAAATTCTGTCAGAAGCTGTTTCTATTCCAATGGAAAACCTAAATTGATGACAGGAACCCATTTTATCTCTTTGGTAAATTATGGTTTCATCAAACTTTTGTAAGTTCATTTAGTTTCTTTTATTCCCTTTTTGTTGCCATTTGATGCAATTGAATTTTCAAATTAGATCTCTTGAAAATAAATATATGACCTTGAGCTGGGCAATACTTCTTATCAGTTTCAAATTTGTTTGGTTAGTTTTCTTATCTTTCCATTAATTATTTCTCACACTGTGTTGATGAAGATTAATTTGATTTGAAACTATAGAAAGATGTGATACCGGCCTCAAATGAAGGTAATTTTTACTACTCCTAAAGGGGGGAGGTGCTGGGTTTAATTTCAATTATGCATGAAAGTGAGAGCAATAAAAAATGTAAAATTGTTTAAGCCTATTAAGTTAGGGCACACGCTAACGATATCCATTATTTATTTTTTTAATCTTGGTTTAAATTTTTTGATTGGAATGTGTTCTCTTCCTTTTGTATTTGATTTTGAGCCAAAGATATGCTAGTTCAGACCTGAATAATTTATTATTATTATTTTTTTTTATAGATGTGTGAACAACTTTATTTCTTTGTCTTAACTTGCCTTCTCAAAGTTTTCTAATTTTTATTTTGTTCTGTACATTATTATAGGACAATTTCTTGCTCTCAAAGTAAGAATCAGAAGAATGACAGACCATTTCTTCTGGAGGACATCTTCTTCCACATCCTTATTTTGCTTCCTGCTGCGTTTCTGCATGACTGTGGGAGGTATGTATGCAAGGCGTGGGCTAAAATTATTCGCGACCCTGCTTTTATCAAGGCACACCTCCTTCAATCGAAGGGTGGTTTGTTCATCCAAAAGTGTTGTAGGCCATATCCAGCCCATTTCCTTGAGTTAAAAGGTGGAGAATTCAAAGAGACATCTCTTAATCGCTATTTTCCCGGCCAAATGGTCTCTAGTAGTGGGGGTTTGTCACTTTTTTATGGCTCACATCCTCAGAAATTTCTTTATGTCGGAAATTATGTTACAATGCAGTACGAGAGCTTACCTTTTCCTATTGCAGCAAATGAGCTTTTTCCCGCTTGTCATATTGCATTCGTTCCTCACACTGGGGAGTACAAGGTGGTATGCCATTGTGTAAGCTTGAGAGGAGTACATAGATGGCTCGTGTTAACTGTGGGTAAAAATATGTTGTGGAGAAAACTTGAAACTCCATTAACAGGAAACAACCTAGATTATGAGGAACGCACTTCTGTCACTATTGGAGGGGTGTTGTATTGGTCCCAGAGGAGCAGTGGAATTTATGCTATTGACCTTCGTGATGAATCTTCGTACTCCATTCAAGTCCCGAATGAATATGTTGAGGAGTCCTACTGGCTACTTGAATTGGGGCATCGTTTATCTTGTCTTGTGAACCATCAGAGAGAGATTCATGTATGCATACTGAAGGACATGTATCGCAGTGAATGGGATAAACTTTACAAAGTTAGAGAAGTAATAGACACTGAGAAATTTTCATTTCGGACATTCGTACCTGTTGGCTGGATGGACAATGGCCAATTATTGATCTTCATTATTCGGAGGTTTGGTAACTGGAAGGAAAGGTTGATAGGGGCTTACAATGTGAAGACGGGAGAGACAAAAGCTTTCAATGATTTCGACACTCAGTTGATACATCTTCACACCAATGGCCTAGCTTCATGGTAAATAAATATGCTTTCATTTCATAGCTATGAACATTTACTTTGGCTTATTGGCTATGAGGTCCTTTTTGTTTATACTTTTGAATCTGGGAAAATTACATTGACCTCTCCCGAGTAATGAAAATTTTACAGCTAGCTCATAGTTTTGGACTAATTACACTGTATTATCTTGAAATACAAATTCCATAGAATTTTGGCCCAAACCGTAAGAGGAAGGGTTTTGTGTCATTTGACATTAGTACATATTTAAATACAAAATACCTAAGGCTAATGCAATAATTTCATCACCTCCATTAACACCTGTAAGGTTTAACTGTGGGGTTTAACACCTGTAGTTTCTCCATTACTTGAGGGAGGTCTGTGTAATTTACCTTTGAAAATTTTATACGAAAATTTGAGAACTCTATTAAGATTTTTATTTTCTCATAAGTTGTACCTTATTTGTAGTATCCTGTTGGGTGCAGTATAGAATATATAAGTAGATATTATGACTTCTCTTTTCTTTTTCTTTTTCTTTTTGTCATTCATGACAAAAGATACAACACAAGCCAGAGGGGATTTAGAATTTTGTTAAGTGTATTCCAATAGAACTCTTGATGTGTAAAGCAATCGTATTTATTTCATTAATTTGCAGACTGAAGAGTGGTGACAACATGTTTGTGCTTAGAAAAAATAAAGAAAAAAAAATTCAGTGATGTCTGGCATGCGAAAATGACCACTATATTGACAAGCAAACAAGCTTCAATAAGTACAAAAGGTTGGTCTCGAGACAGAAAATCAGTAAATTGTGATTAACTGCGAGCAAAAAGTCCCACAGTAGTTTGTAAATTTTTTTCTTCTTTTTTTTCTAAAACCAGTAGGTCGACTCATCTGAACTTGTTTTCTGGTATCGTAGCACAGTTTATGTTGGGGTATCAATGAAAAAACTGAGAAAAATAGAACATAGATATTTACATTACATTTTCTTTGGTACATAATAGGAAACAGTTATTGTCACACCATACTTAACATTATTTTCCTCTCTCTTTCTCTCTCACACACACAAACACGTCACATGCCCTCGTATTCAATAGGAACACATTATATTTCTTCATTGTTTTGGATCCTTAAAAATATGGATGGTCTTATTGTCGGACCACTTGCAGGTAGGCAGCGTTTGCAGTGGAAGGAAAGGAGAGAAGATTTGCAGCAGTATTTGGAGCTCGAAAGCTATTTCTCTCCGCAAGTAAATAAAAGACTATACCAGCTTGGTGTCCAAGCTTGTATGATAATTCTCTTGCAATTTGTTTTGTGTGACAAAGAGTTTGCTATATAATAGTCTTGGAAGTTACTTTAGGCAACTAGTAAGGTCTTGAACCCTAAATAGTAAGCGGTTGGTGCTTTGGTTTTTTTGTTTTTGTTTTCTGCTGTCCTAGTTTGCTTTTGTTTATGACGTGAAGTTATTTGGTACTATCATAAAACAATTTAGTAGCTATGTGCATTTTCCTTCTACCTTAGTGTGTATGTCTTGTGCTTGCTTTTCTTATGAATGTTTCTTAGGGAGGGACTCGGAGCGGGGAGGGTTGGGAAGGAGCTGTGGGGTAGTGAGGGTGGCGGCCAAACCACCAGAGGTTGGTGGTGGGTGGTGGCTAGGTTCAAAGAAAGGGGTAAAGTTGGAAATATGATGGGGGTTCAAAGAAAAATAGGTTAGGAGCAATTTTAGTGGGTGTTTGGAAAGTTGTTATCTTAGTAGGCTATTTTAGATTTTGGTTATTGTAGTAAGTTCAAATTTTTGTATTTGAGAAGATGATTGGATTTTTTTTATAGTTAGGTATGATGTTTGTGAGAGAAAAAGCTAAATGATTATGGATTTGATGTGACATTATTAGCTATTTTAACATATTTTGTCTTTTTGTGAATTTTAGCCCAAAAAGCAAAAAAATAGCCTTTGCCAAACAAGGCTTTAGAGAGTGGGGTCCATTTTTTTTTTAATATTAAATTTGAATAAAAATTTCATCATCAAGTGTTTCAAAGGAAAATTTGCATTTTTTATCAAACCACTAGTCGATCGGGATGATGATCAGGAGAATGTCGGGCCAGTCAACTGATTAATGTAAATTTGCTTGACAATCAGGAGGAAGTCTGGCCGGTTGACCGATTAGTGTAAATTTACTCGAAGTCTAAGCAAGGAAGAGGTTATTCGGGAGGATAACCGGCCAGTCATCCTGTGTATGGTCCCAACGGCTATTTACAGTAATTTGATGATTATTATTTTTTATTTATTTTATATATAATTTAGTGTCTGTACCAACATGTGTGTACCTTGATTACTAGAAAAACCTTTTAATAGAAAGTAAATAATTGATATTTGCCTTTGCTAAAAATTGACCATTTGACATTTCAGTTGAGTACACATAAGTAGCCAATTGGGTTAACGAAATTGGCTCTAATTTTAATTTAACATTTAAATTTTTATGAAAAAAACATTTAATTTTAAAAAAAAGGCATTTACATACAAGTCTTAATTTATGAATTTATATTCCATTAAATCCTAACTAAGATTTTTGAATTTTCAAGTCGCATTAATGTTTTTTTTTTTTTTGAAAAAATTGAAAAATATGAATTATTTTTTTGTACAAAACTAAAAATTTTGTCTATAAAGGAGCATGATGATGGAATATTGATGTGCAAAATTGGAAAAAAAAAACTTTAAAAATAAAAAAAAAAATGATAATGTTCTCAGTTTTAAAATTGGAAAAAACTATTAATGTTATCGGTTTTATTGGATAGTTGAATCAAATCAATAAGTAGAAAGACATAAATGTTTAATTTCATGCTCTTTTTTTTTATCAGCTAGTGAAACAATTATCTGGAACATTACTATACAAAATTGATAATATCTTTTAATTTTGAACTTGAAAAAACTGATAATATTCTTAATTTTACTAAATATGACTTATTAGTTCAAAAAATCTTAAATAGGACCCGAGCTAGCATAATATTTGTAAATAAGACTTTTAGATAATTAACTCTTTAAAAAATTCAACATTTAATTTTGAATAATTAATTCCCACTCTTTAACTCGGTGCAACAGGCTGATTTAGTGTGACAATTTAGCAAACCACCCTAAGAGCATCTCCAACTTTTACTCTTTTATTTATTTATTTATTTTTGTATTAAATTTGAGTAAAAATTTCATTATCAAGTGTTTCAATGGTAAATTTGCATTTTTTATCAAACCACTAGTCGACTGAGAGGACGATTAGGAGGATGTCGGGCCGGTCAACCGATTAATGTAAATTTACTGGAGGATCAGGAGGATGTCTGGCCGATTGACTGATTAGTGTAGATTTACTAGAAGTCTAAGCAAGGAAGAGGTTATTCGGGAGGATAACCGGGCGGTCATCCTGTGTATGATCCCAATGGCTATCTGCAGCAATTTGATGAAAAACTTCAAGCATCTTCAATTTGATGAAAATTTAAGAAATCTTCAATTTAATATTGGTTTGATGTTAACGTTAGAGTATCAAAACTGAACTTTTTTCATCAAATTTAAATTTAATTGAAAAAAAAATGTTAGAGACGCTCTAAAAAATTTAAAATAATTATAGCATTTCATTATAATTAGATTTTGTGATAAAAAATTGTCAATACATACAAAATATTCCTATGACAGATTTGATTTAAAATTTGATGGGTTGTTGTTCCATCCATTGTTTTACATTAATGTATGTACACTCTCCACAAAAGTATGTACTATATATATCTTATAATAATACTATATATATCTTATAATAATAAAAAATTGATATAATTATATATTTTTTAAGTTATAATTAAAAAAATATATATATTTTAATTAAATACTGTTGACTTATTTTTCCTATGAAGGAAAATATTATAAATACGAGCATGCTAGTAAGGATTGAAAAATCTTTACAGATTAAATTTAAGTCAATTATCAAGCGATTGTGTTGACAGTTCTTTTGTCTCAACAAAGAGGACTTCAAAATTGCCAAGTGTAGAGAAAAGAAAAATTAAAAGAAGAATGATAGAGACGGAGAAAGGCGATTGAGTGTTTGAAAAGGAAATGCTGAAAATAAATATTTCGAAATATAAAATCTATAATAAACTACTCCTAAGATAAGGAAAACGATAAAAAAATATTGAAATCAATTGTCTTTGATTTGAGTTTTGGATCCTTTACAATGTAGTCGTGAATGACTATTTATAGACAAACACTTCTAGGAAAAAACTACCAAAAACTACCTACTCTTCCATCTCCTCCATTTAATATTCCATGATCTTCCATAACTTCCTTTAATCTCCACTTCATGCTCCATGTTCTCCACTTTGTTCTCCATCATCTTTCTACATTTCATAACTTCTCATAACCTCCAAATGAGTAGGAGGATACTACATGTCTGCAATTATATAAAAAATAAATAATAACAAAATTGCAGATTTATAGCGCTAACAAATATAATATGAGATATAATTAAAAAAATCATAAGTCATAATTAAAAAATAAAATAATATAATTAAAAATACATATAATATTCTATTCTTAAAGGTGTATATTTCCAGTTTTTCGTACGTTAAAGGCAAGGGAATGTATTATGTTCGGTAGTACACTGCTGGAAATAGGGCTTTTAGCGGCGTTTTAAAAACGCCGCTATATCTGTCAAAAACGCCGTTAATTCATTTTGTGGCGTTTAGTACCAAACGTCGAAGCTGCGGCCGTCGCTGTAGCTTTGCGACGTTTTAAAAACGTCGTGATATTAGTATAGGAGGCGTTTTAAAAAACGCCGCAAAATGTCTCACTATACACACGCTGACGTCACCAACGATATTTAGCGACGTTTTTGAAACGCCGTTGTATCTGTGTAAAAAATATGACCGTTACTATTGAGGGTTTAGGAGGCGTTTGTAGAAACGCCGTACATGCAAGGAAAAGAGGCCAAAAAGCAAAAAAATAGCATTTGCCAAACAAGGCCTTAGAGAGTGGGGTCCAAATAGTGGGGGTTGTCTAAATAAATATAAATAAATAAATTAAATAAAGAGGTGGCAATAGCAACACTATTTTCATGAAGGTTCACATTCAATATTCAACTATGCTGTTTTGTATGTAAATTATGTATAATTTTATTTTTTTTATTTTTTTTTTGTATATAATTACTACTATTTTGAAAATAATAGACCACTTTGACACAATCTTTGATTTGAAATGAGAAGACCAAAATTTGCCACATAATTTGCATAAATTTTCTCTTTATATATATCTATTGTTTACTTTATTCATAATGGTTTGAAATTGTACTTTGAGAGAGGTTGGTAGTGAGGAGGTTGATCAGTCTTTTAATATTTGTTAGCAGTAACACCTCTAGTTAGTCTTTCACAAAACATGTAGTTGTGTGTCTAACTAATGGTGTTTCTTAAATTTTCTAAATTATTTATATTTTTTTCAGTCTATGTAAGTGTAGAAATTTATATCCATTTTTTATAATATTATGCATGGATTGAATATATCATGGCAAATTCTTCAGAAAAAATGGTGTCTCTACAATAAAATTTGACAAGTGAGATTTCGATTAAGTGTTTACATAATCAGTCTAACTTCAAAAAGAAAATGGTCAAAAAATAGTCAAGAAAACACAGGTTGTCTTGACAGGACAAAAGGAAGATTTGTAGCTCGACATAATTCCTTACTATTGGATGGGTACATCACCAACATGACTATCCCTTCTCTTGGGTAGTTACAACTCGTCAATCTCATCAACTCAAATTATCAAGTCAAAGCATGAAACAACCATTCTGCACGGATCTTTTTTTTCGATGTCACATACTTCTATTTCAAATCACATTTCTACCACATGATCAACTCAAAAAAGACTCATTCTTTGATAAATAGTTAGCTTGGGACAACTGAGAATTCGAACAGAGATCCTCTGTATATCCCAAGCCACATCTGACAATTAGGCCAAAGAGCCCATCTTGTGATAGAAAGCTGACTTGGGACAGTAGAGAATGCAGACAGAAAATCTGGCCTCCAACTAGAGCTGCTATTACCTGTAAATACATTATTGGACTTCCAACACCGACGGACCAATTGTCAATCTGAAAACCATAACAGCGAAGTTTTTAACCACCCATCAAATGTATGAACATGATAAAGGGAAAATAAGCCCAAAAAAAGAAAAAGTAGGAAAGGAAACAAGGTCGATGCAGATTGACTAAGGTGTAGGTATGATTTCAGTGGAGCAAAACAACTGTCTGACAGAATTTATTGAGGAAGTTGAGACGCAACTTATGGGGTTATGAATGGCTCAATCTTCCCTGTATTGGGAACCTAGGCTGATGATTTATGAAAAATATATGATGAACGAAGTTGGCATTGCTTCATCCTCCATTCTCAATTGCCAAGGTCTGAAAAACGCATTTCTGTCGCTTAACCTTGTGGCCATCAAAGATCTGAAAAAGTTGTTTTATGGCTTAACCTCTTGGCCATCAAA